CCTGTGAACTGCTGGTTGGGGTCCTTGTAGGGTTTCAGCAGATGAACATGGAAAGCGTTGTGAAGCTTCCACGTAGAAGGTAAGCGCAAGCGGAATGTAACTGGTGTCACCATCGCCTCAACACAAAAGGGACCACAGAAGCGAGGCCGGAGCTTGGACGGAATGTGGGACAAGTTCAAGTTGCGTGTGTCGAGAAGCACCTGATCTCCGACTGCTACTGAGTGATCTCGTCGCTGTCGATCAGCATACTGCTTCTGGGAGTTCTGCATCGTGGTGATGTTATAGTCACTATAGGCTTCAATGTGCCTAAAACGAAGGATAGAGTGCGCAGTCAGGTTTCTGCACAGCGGCTTTAAACATTCATAGCGATCTGGTCACAGCTCCAATTGACCTCATTCAACTTGGATCTGGAGCGTCTTAACGTCGCCTACAACAGGCTTTTTAGATCGCACGATTTTATTAAGTTTTGACGACACAGCGTCGGTTTGAACGAACGGCACTATGGCAGCGACATAGTCTTAGAACACACAATCACGAACAACTAGGAAGAGTTACGAGTTGGGAAGGACTCCCAGCTCCTACAAACCCCAAGAGTCGAGGTACAGTGATGGGGAAGAGTGCCACACTGTCTCCAACCAAGAAGGGTCTCGAAACTACCCTCCAGAAGGGCCTACACCCATAGAAATGTTACACTACAAATTGTAATGTAACTATCTTCAATATCTTGAGGTGTACCCTCTTGGCCAGCTTCGAAATCACTTGAAGCTTGCAACCAAGGCTCGGGTTCTTCATCAAAAACTCAACCTTGAGTTCTTGATGGGTCTGCTGCACACACCTGCGACACGCCGAACGTTCGACACAGGACAAAATAGGAACCGCGCACGGGACACACGACAAAATAGAAACTGCGCGCGAGACACAAATGACTGCCTTAACGCGCGGCTAGCGATAACTCGCTATTGACTCGACACACACACACGCTACATCATGACCCATCATTCACACACCATTATAAGCATGAAATATATATTTATTTCATGCGCTCATACCACTCTATGCACACACGCATGCACGCACACGCACACGGACAACAAGCCGAGTGCAAACCGTAGGGTTGCACCAACAGGTGAGACGTCGCTGAGTCTTCTCTCATAGCTGCTGCATGGTGGTGACGAAGTCGTGTGCGGCTTGGACGTGTGCCGGTGTGGTTGGCTGCTGAGGTGTAAGTGGTTCCCGTCCATAGCACAGGAAGAAAGGAGATTTCCCTGTGGCCGCATTCGACGTGTTGTTGTAAGCGAACTCAAGGGTTGTTAACTGTTGATCCCAGTGGTTGATGTCTTCCTTGCAAGCTGTGCGGAGTAACTGTTCAACCACCTGATTGAGTCGCTCTGTCTGTCCGTCAGTCTGAGGGTGGCATTGCAAGCTTTGTCCCCAACAATTCCATGAGTTCCCTCCAGAACTTACTAGTGATTTTTGGGTCTCTGTCTGAGATGAGTGTAGCGGGGATGCCGTGGATGGTGATGATGCGGTCGAAGAAGAGACGAGCAGTTGCTTCAGCTGTAGCCGTGGCGTTGGTCGGAATGAAGTGTCCCATCTTAGAGAACTTATCGATCACCACGAGTATAGCATCATGCCCTCGTGAGGTCGAAGGAAGCCCAGTGATGAAGTCTAGGCTAACAACTTGCCATGGCTGCTCCGGTACGGATAGAGGCTGAAGTAACCCTGCTTTTTTCTGCTTGCTACTCTTCATCTGCTGGCACGTGTCGCATGAGGTGACGAACTGCTGCACGTCTGCTGCCGTCTGGGGCCAGTAGTAATACTTCGCTATTCCCGCTAACGTCTTGTTGCTCCCGAAATGTCCCGCGAGGCCACATCGTGGAACTCCTCCAGTACGATCTATCGGAGCGGGGCATAGTTCGGTACCCAAATCTTTCCCGATCCCTTTCTTACAGCTAAGTCATTCTCCCACTGTAACAACTTCTGTTTCTCTGCTGTAGCGATCTCTGCGTCCACGGAGTACCCATGTTGGAATAGACCCTTGAGTAGAGGGTTCATCCCGTCGAGCTGGATGCCTGCTATATGACTGTGGCGGCTCAACGCATCAGCTTTGTTGTGGAGCCCGGGCTTGTAGACGATGTCGTAGTGGAAGTGGGTTTCCAAGAAGTCCACCAACCGCACCTGTCGTCGTGAGAGTGTCGGCTGCGACTTCAGGTATTTGAGGCTGCAGTGGTCAGTGTAAACTGTAGTCTTGGCTCCCTCTGCATGTACAGCATGTAGGTGCATGTACACACATAGTAGGTGCATAGAATATAAGCCGAACAAATTTGGGATGGAGGTTGGGACGACGGTAGCTCTGACGGCAGTGGAAATTCTGACGGCAGTGGTTCTGACAGCGGTGGTTGGGACGACGGTAGTCCCGACGGTGGTTCTGACGGCGTAGGGGGCTGGGACGACAGGGGAATCTCGGACGGGGGAAGCTCCGGCGGAGGCGGCGACAGCGGGGGGGACGGCGGAAGCGGTGGAAGCGACGGGAGCAGCGGCGGAACTGGCGGAAACGGCGGAAATAGCGAGGGCGGGGGCACGGTGGACGCGGGGGCGATGATGGAGGGGCACAACGCTGCGCGCGCGGAGCTGGGCCTCCCCGCGCTAGGCTGGGACGCGAATCTGGCGGCCTCCGCGCAGGCATGGGCGGACAACCTGGCTTCGCGCGGATGCCCCATGGAGCACGGGGGACACGACAACATGGGGCAGAACTTATACTGGAAGCGGCCTGCTGCTTTTAACGCGGATGATGACCGTGAAGCAGTGTATTGGTGGGTGGATGAGAAGAACTATTAAACTTATAGTGCGATTCCGGGGGGGTGTGCGGAGGGGCAGCAGTGCTTGCATTATACGCAGATTGTGTGGCAGGATACGACAAATGTAGGGTGCACTGCGGCTCAGTGCGGTGACAGGGGTGGGATGTGGGTGTGTCATTACTATCCGCAGGGGAACTGGCAGGGGGAGTACCCATACACTACCTAACAGGACCCAAGTGAACCGCACCGGACCTGATTGGACCGCTTTGTGCCCCACTAAACTCATGGAACCGTTCTCAAGAAGACAGATGGTCAGAAGGAAGTGCAGTGCACCGCTCGTGCACCAATACTAAGACTAACAAGTTGATGACTCAGATTGGGTGGTTCAAGAGAAAATGCAAGGGAGAGAGGGAGAGGGGAGAGTTGGGGAGGGGAGGGGAGGGAGGGGACCAGAGGGGGATGGGTGGTGCTGAGAAGAATCAGATTTCAATGCCTTACTGAAGTTACATGTAATACCGTAGGCATTGTGGTGCAGGGTGGGGTGAAGATCCTCTTACCTGAGGCGGGAGAGTGCTTTTGGTGTGGTTAGACCGCCAGCAGTAGTGAATGTTTGTCTTCTTTGTCTACTGATTTCTAAGTAAATGTCTTGGCATTTCAAAACGATGCGTGTAGGAGCCAGAGAGGACCAATAGTGCTCAAGGCACAGATAGAGGCAACAAACAATTCACTTCATTCATGCCTGATTGCGATCAGCTCATATGCGTCAATAACGTACCTCACCTCACCATACAATCAGCCTCTGTGCCTAGCATTAGTTCTTACTACCCACCATATGTATCACACACATTACACACATGTTACATTTCACTCCTCCTGGTTGCGTCTGGGGGACTTCCTCTTGGACGAGCTGAGCTCTTACTTTGTTTGGAGATGCCTACATGAGGCACTTCATTCCAACTCACCACATGTATCACACACATCACATTACACACATGTTACATTTCACTCCTCCTGGTTGCGTCTGGAGGTCATCCACTTGGACGAGCTAAGCTCTTTCCTTTCAAGGAGTGTTTGGGTTGACCCGTAGCACCACACACATCACATCACTCCTTCTGGTTGCGTCTAGAGGTCATCCTTTTGGACAAGCTGAGCTCTTTTTTCCGAAGGCGAATGGCCGCAGGAGTCACTTCCACCATTCGCCTGTTTGCACATACCCCATGGCCTCCTCTAGACTCATCTGTGGTTTGCCAAGGGATTTTCAGGTGTGTGGAGGGATACAGGGAGGAGGTAGGTATATGAATGCACAAGGTCGAACGGCAATAGGAGTCACCTCCACCAGCTCGCCTGTTTGAACGTACCCCATCGCCTCCTCCAGACTCATCTGTGGTGTAAAAAGGGGTGCAAAGTGGTGTGTGGAGGGTACAGGGGTAGATACGGAGGTGCAGCACTGAACATCATGGGACGACCATGAAAAGCAGCAGGCCCCCTCCCCCAGCTCACCCATATGCACTGCACATACACCATGGTCTCCTCCAGACTCATTTGTGGTATGCGGTGAGGTATAGAGTGGTACAGGGGTGTGTGATGGGGCACAGGGGTAGGTAGAGGTGATGGTGCACAACGGCGAATGGCAGCAGGAGTCACCTCTATGTCTTCTGCCAGGCTCATCTGTGGTTTTCAGTGAGGTACAGGGGTGTGAACAGCTGTGTATAACGGTACATATGGATAGCCCGATGTAACAATTGTAACAGATGATAGTACTGACCTGTCTTGGGGGCGTGAGGCGAATGTTCTCATCCTTGGAACTGTACATATGAATCGCCCAATGTAACTATTGTAACAAATGACACTGCTGACCTGTCTTGGAGGTGTGGGTCGAATGTTTTCATCCTTAGAAGCTGCTCTTATGTTGGTGAGCTCCTTAGTGCATACAGGGTTCACCTGGGGAAGGGGGAATCAACAGAGGGAATGGTAGCGTAATTTATTCAAGTCTGCCTTAGTGCATGTTCGATGTTAAGAGGCTGCACAGCCTTACTACAGCACCTAACAGCCATGAAATGCGACCTCTCAGCTTAATCACGGCTTTTTCTCCCTCATCCATTTCCTTATCCCACTCACTTACTTTTACCTTTACCCCGTTACACCCTTCACCCCCTTGTCCCCATTCACTCATTCTCCCCCTCGCCCCCATTCCTGCCTCACCTCCATATCATCGTCCCTGGCATTCTCTCCTATGAGATGCCTGTCGTACGTCTGAAGGATGGGGCGGGGAGGAAGAAAAGGGAGTGGGAAAGTTCAAACTTAGGCCTTATCCTCAACCCCTCTCCCCCTCACCTCCATGTCATCGCCCCTTCCGTTCTCTCCAACAATATGCCCATCAAATGTCTGAAGGAGAGGCAGGGAGGGCGGATGAGAAGGGACGGGGAATAATACAACTTTTCTCTCACCCTCACCCCCTTCTTCTCCTCATCTCCATGTCATCGTCCCTAGCGTTCTCTCCAATGATATGGCCATCACATGGATGAAGGATGGAGCAAGGAGAGAGAATGCACATGGACGAGGGGAAGAGAGGAAGAGGACGAAGAGAGGAAGAGGAGGAAGAGAGGAAGAGGAGGAAGAGAGGAAGTGGAGGAAGAGAGGAAGAGGAGGAAGAGAGGAAGAGGAGGAAGATAGGAAGAGGAGGAAGAGAGGAAGAGGAGGAAGAGAGGAAGAGGAGGAAGAGAGGAAGAGGAGGAAGAGAGGAAGAGGAGGAAGAGAGGAAGAGGAGGAAGAGAAGGAGCGAACGGGAAAGGAGAAGAGGCTATGCCACAAACCATTCTCTAACTACCACCCCACACTAAACCACGCAGCCGCACTGCATCGTATCTGTGAGGATCTGGTTCAGGAAAGATTGAACTATTGAATAATGCACCTGGGTACAAGGCGACGCTATATATAGGCTCGACACAAAGGCAGTAACCCTGGTGTTATCAGAAGGTTCCGTGGGTCGCGAAGCGTCCCGAACGGGTCCTTCCCGAATTCGGTAGAAGGCAATTCGGTGGCAACCGAAAAGCCTAGAATTCGGTGCATTCAACCTAGTTCGGTGCCTATAACTATAATAAATATAGTAAGAGCAACGAACCTAGGAAATCTAGCAAAAGCAAGCAAAATAAAGCAAAGCTAAGCTAGATAATGCATAATAAAGCATAATCAAGCTAGTAAATCATAGCAAAGCCGTCGTACTCTCACACGTCCCCCCCTCAAAGCTGGGTGGCGTGAGAGACACCCTGCTTGACAAGATAATCCTTGAGAGCACGGCGTGCGTTGCCCATATCAGCTTCTGCAACCCAACTGTCCTCTGACGGGTCATATCTCGTCCAACGTATCAGGAACTCGAGCGTGTTGCCGCGTCTGCGTCGATGAGCGAGAACTCGTTCCACCTCGTACTCTGGTTCATCCTGTACAAGAACAGGTGGTGGTGGCGGTAGCTGTCGTCCTGTGAACTGCTGGTTGGGGTCCTTGTAGGGTTTCAGCAGATGAACATGGAAAGCGTTGTGAAGCTTCCACGTAGAAGGTAAGCGCAAGCGGAATGTAACTGGTGTCACCATCGCCTCAACACAAAAGGGACCACAGAAGCGAGGCCGGAGCTTGGACGGAATGTGGGACAAGTTCAAGTTGCGTGTGTCGAGAAGCACCTGATCTCCGACTGCTACTGAGTGATCTCGTCGCTGTCGATCAGCATACTGCTTCTGGGAGTTCTGCATCGTGGTGATGTTATAGTCACTATAGGCTTCAATGTGCCTAAAACGAAGGATAGAGTGCGCAGTCAGGTTTCTGCACAGCGGCTTTAAACATTCATAGCGATCTGGTCACAGCTCCAATTGACCTCATTCAACTTGGATCTGGAGCGTCTTAACGTCGCCTACAACAGGCTTTTTAGATCGCACGATTTTATTAAGTTTTGACGACACAGCGTCGGTTTGAACGAACGGCACTATGGCAGCGACATAGTCTTAGAACACACAATCACGAACAACTAGGAAGAGTTACGAGTTGGGAAGGACTCCCAGCTCCTACAAACCCCAAGAGTCGAGGTACAGTGATGGGGAAGAGTGCCACACTGTCTCCAACCAAGAAGGGTCTCGAAACTACCCTCCAGAAGGGCCTACACCCATAGAAATGTTACACTACAAATTGTAATGTAACTATCTTCAATATCTTGAGGTGTACCCTCTTGGCCAGCTTCGAAATCACTTGAAGCTTGCAACTAAGGCTCGGGTTCTTCATCACAAACTCAACCTTGAGTTCTTGATGGGTCTGCTGCACACACCTGCGACACGCCGAACGTTCGACACAGGACAAAATAGGAACCGCGCACGGGACACACGACAAAATAGAAACCGCGCGCGAGACACAAATGACTGCCTTAACACGCGGCTAGCGATAACTCGCTATTGACTCGACACACACACACGCTACATCATGACCCATCATTCACACACTATTGTAAGCATGAAATATATATTTATTTCATGCACTCATACCACTCCATGCACACACGCATGCACGCACACGCACAACAAGCCAAGTGCAAACCGTAGGGTTGCACCAACAGGTGAGACGTCGCTGAGTCTTCTCTCATAGCTGCTGCATGGTGGTGACGAAGTAGTGTGCGGCTTGGACGTGTGCCGGTGTGGTTGGCTGCTGTGGTGTAAGTGGTTCCCATCCATAGCACAGGAAGAAAGGAGATTTCCCTGTGGCCGCATTCGACGTGTTGTTGTAAGCGAACTCAAGGGTTGTTAACTGTTGATCCCAGTGGTTGATGTCTTCCTTGCAAGCTGTGCGGAGTAACTGTTCAACCACCTGATTGAGTCGCTCTGTCTGTCCGTCAGTCTGAGGGTGGCATTGCAAGCTTTGTCCCCAACAATTCCATGAGTTCCCTCCAGAACTTACTAGTGATTTTTGGGTCTCTGTCTGAGATGAGTGTAGCGGGGATGCCGTGGATGGTGATGATGCGGTCGAAGAAGAGACGAGCAGTTGCTTCAGCTGTAGCCGTGGCGTTGGTCGGAATGAAGTGTCCCATCTTAGAGAACTTATCGATCACCACGAGTATAGCATCATGCCCTCGTGAGGTCGAAGGAAGCCCAGTGATGAAGTCTAGGCTAACAACTTGCCATGGCTGCTCCGGTACGGATAGAGGCTGAAGTAACCCTGCTTTTTTCTGCTTGCTACTCTTCATCTGCTGGCACGTGTCGCATGAGGTGACGAACTGCTGCACGTCTGCTGCCGTCTGGGGCCAGTAGTAATACTTCGCTATTCCCGCTAACGTCTTGTTGCTCCCGAAATGTCCCGCGAGGCCACATCGTGGAACTCCTCCAGTACGATCTATCGGAGCGGGGCATAGTTCGGTACCCAAATCTTTCCCGATCCCTTTCTTACAGCTAAGTCATTCTCCCACTGTAACAACTTCTGTTTCTCTGCTGTAGCGATCTCTGCGTCCACGGAGTACCCATGTTGGAATAGACCCTTGAGTAGAGGGTTCATCCCGTCGAGCTGGATGCCTGCTACATGACTGTGGCGGCTCAACGCATCAGCTTTGTTGTGGAGCCCGGGCTTGTAGACGATGTCGTAGTGGAAGTGGGTTTCCAAGAAGTCCACCCACCGCACCTGTCGTCGTGAGAGTGTCGGCTGCGACTTCAGGTATTTGAGGCTGCAGTGGTCAGTGTAAACTGTAGTCTTGGCTCCCTCTAGGTAAGACCTCCACGCCTTAAAGGCTGTGACTATCGCTAAGGCTTCCTTGTCATGGATGGGGTAATTTAGTTCTGCTCCGTGTAGCTTCTTACTGAGATAGGCGATGGGTTGCAAACCGCGTCCATGATCCTGCATCAGTACTGCTCCGACTGCTTGGTCACTAGCATCTGCTTCCACCACGTAGTCTCTGTCTGGATCCGGTAGGATGAGTACTGGCGCTATAGTCAGTGCTGTCTGTAGCTGCTCCATGGCTTGCTGTTGAGGAGTATCCCATTTATAGGGCGTATCCTTCTTCAGTAGGTTGGTCAGTGGCGCTGCTATCTTAGCGTACTGCGGCACGAACCTGTTGTAGTAGTTGGCAAAGCCTAGGAACTGCTGCAACTCCTTCACGTTCTCTGGAACTTTCCACTTCTTGACGGCTTCGATCTTCCGCGGGTCCACGTGTACGCTCTCCGCACTCACCATGTGCCAGGGAAACTGCACCTTCTTCAATGCGAAGTCGCTCTTTGACAGCTTCACGTAGAACTTATTCTTCCGCAGGATCTCGAAGACTTTCTGCGGATGCTCCACATGCTCCTTCATAGATCAGAATGTCGTCCAGGTACACCACCATGCATTCGTCCAGCAGGGGTCGTAAGATATGATTCATATCCGCCTGGAACGTCGCTGGTGCGTTGCAGAGTCCGAACGGCATCACTAAGTACTCGTAGGAGCCGTATCTGGTACGGAACGCCGTCTTGTGGATCGAGTTGTCCGCCATCTTGATCTGCCAGTAACCCGACCATAGGTCCAGCTTCGAAAACACCGTCGCACCACGCAGTTGGTCTAGAAGATCGTCTATGCACGGTATGGGGTATTTGTTCTTGGCTGTTTGTTCGTTCTGTGCCCAGTAGTCGATGCACATCCGTAAACTACCGTCTGGCTTTGGAGTGAAGAGAACCGGTGCGCCGTAGGGAGAGGTGGATGGGCGGATCAGTTTTCTGTCCAGTAGATACTCAATCTGTTTCTTCATGTCTGTCAGTTCAGTCGGACTCTGTCGGTACGGTGCACGTGAAACGGGTTTTGCACCTGGTTCCTCCACGATCTCGTGCTCGTGTGTGCGCGCTGGGGGTACTCCTGCAGGTAGGTCGTCTGGCATGATGGCTTTGTACTGCTCCAACACCTCCTTTACTGCTGCAGGTAGCTTCGAGTTCGGTTTTTCCTCCTCTCCTGCTGCCCTAACCAGTGCTAAGTAACCCGTGTTACTCTCGTTCACCGTCCGTTCGAACCGCGCCAGTGTCGTTTCAGGAACGCTCCCTGTATCCGTCCAGCTTCGCAGCTTCACACGTTTCCCGTTGTTGTAGATACACGCCTTCCGGTTGACCCAGTTGATCTCGGGGTTGAACCGCTTCAGAAAATCACTCCCCAAGATGAAGTCTAATTCCATGATGTTTGTGATCGGCAACGTCAGCTTCCACCTTAACGCCCCTATCTGCAGCTGCAGTGTTTACTCGCCGTGGATGGGAAGCTTCGTACAGTCCACC